TCCATATGTGCCGGCCAGGCCAACCCCCCCTCTCCCCCTCCGTATGGCATTCATGCGGATGAGTAGCTCAGGGCGACCCTGGAGGTGGGTCTTCTACTCCAGATATGTCAGAGGAGGTTAGTGAAGCTTCATCGGCCCTGAATCCCTGATCTCTGCTAATTACCCAGCCGGGCCCCATGTGCAGGATGTGGCCCCCCCAAGTACCGGGAACAAAAGTAACATACGGAAACAATTAAGCGGACGTCTCCGTGCGGCTTTAATACTCGGGATGTAGAAGGACGAAGCCCTCCATTTCTATGCCATTATTCATTATAACCCCCCTGAGCTGTAACCGGACGTGAATCCTGGACACAGATTGGTCACCCGCCTGGCAGAGTGCCCGCCGTAACCTACGTCTGCGCCAGCTAGCAAAATCTTCCAGTGCAGCCCATTCCTTCCGAGGTCTCCCCACCGCTTCCCCTTACACGGCCGTCCATTGGATGAATAGACTGCGCTAATCCCCTCACAGGCGTCTCTGCATTTAAAGGGTTAATCCATTCTAAAGTCATATTTTAGGTGTAGATGGTAGGTCTACAGACCCGGGAACTCAGCACAGGGATGGTGGGAACCAGGGGCGTAACTAGAAGTCACAGGGCCCCACAGCAAAATTTTGTATGGGGCCCTGTGATTTCTAGATAAGCCAACCTGATAGCCCAAACAGCCCACCTGAGGGTGACCCTGCAGAGCCAACCATAGACTCTCTATGGTGGGCTCTGCAGGGTCTTAGGTGGGCGGTCAAGCCCTCTTACCCGTCTGCTCCGATCCTCTGTCCGCCTCCTTCTCCTCCACGATTGCTTGCGGGCCCCGGCTCCTCCGTCACTGGGCCCCGCCTCCTCCGTCACTGCCGACGACGGGCCCAGCAACCTCCTCCGAAGCTGCTGGTTGTCACCGACTCAGCAGGGGCTGTGAGGAGGAACGCGCCGCTGCACATGTGAATAGCGGCGCGTTCCTACTCACAGCCGCCAGTGGCAGCCAGCAGCCTGAGATGACATGGCGACCTGCACGGTATCGGGGGGATGTCCTGGTCGGGCCCCCCTGTGTCCTGGGCCCCATAGCGACCGCCTGGGTCGCTATGGTGATTGTTAAGCCACTGGAGGGAACCACTCAGAAAGATCCCTCCAGTGATAATAAAGATCTATATAGAGGGATCAGGACCTCCTTCCTCCAGCTGGTGACCCCTCTAGTGATAATAAAGATCTATATAGAGGGATCAGGACCTCCTTCCTCCTGCTGGGGATCCCTCTAGTGATAATAAAGATCTATATAGAGGAATCAGGACCTCCTTCCTCCTGCTGGGGATCCCTCTAGTGATAACTAAAGATCTATATAGAAGGATCAGGACCTCCTTCCTCCTGCTGGGGATCCCTCTAGTGATAACTAAAGATCTATATAGAAGGATCAGGACCTCCTTCCTCCTGCTGGGGATCCCTCTAGTGATAATAAAGATCTATATAGAGGGATCAGGACCTCCTTCCTCCTGCTGGAGATCCCTCTAGTGATAATAAAGATCTATATAGAGGGATCAGGATCTCCTTCCTCCTGCCGGGGACCCCTCTAGTGATAATAAAGATCTATATAGAGGGATCAGGACCTTCTTCTTCCTGCTGGGGACCCCTCTAGTGATAATAAAGATCTATATAGAGGAATCAGGACCTCCTTCCTATTTATAATTAATGTGGTTTATATAAATCACTCATTGAATACACATTCTTACAGAGTTCTATGTTTGCCGTTTAATGATTAATATGAAATCTGTGTATTATGAGCCCTGATGAAAGGGATTTAGATTCCAGAAATGAGTTGGCTCGCCTGGAAACCTTCAATAAACAATCTGCGGTACAGACAGAAGTGGAGATCTTGCATTGCTTCCGTTTCACGAAAAGCTGACAGGGCATCTAACCCTTCCTTACTCTACTATAGCTGCGTGCTGCTGTCACCGCTACACACCAGCTGGAATATTAGATGAGGCTTGCAGTGAGAGAGCAGGGGTGACTGAAACAAAAAGAGAAACATACACCATTATTTTCTTCCTTTCAGTGCCGCGGTGGGTGTCGGTTTTTATGGGAACAGCGAGACCAACGACGGCATATACCAGCTGACCTACTCCCTGGACGACGCCAATCACACCTTGGCGGGGGTGGACAATCTGGTAAGTCGTCTCAGTTTGCAGTGTTGTTGCTGAACAGACTAATGTGTCCCATCGGCCCTTTTGTGGGGAACGATATGCTGTGGTGAAGTACCAGCCGGCCGCTTCGGGTGACGGATATATATACGAGTGACGGCGGCAGCTGTTTAAATCCGCGCCCGGCGGGCCGCGCCGGGCCCCTCCACCATTTTGCTGCCGTGAAATTCCTCTGGACTGTGACTAATGGAGAGCTGGACGGGCTCTGTTGGGAAACGGTTGTTCCGTCTATTCGGGGGCCCATCTGTCTCCGAGAGAAGCTGCAACATGGCAACTGGCTGGAAGACGCGCCGGAGCCGTGAAACAGGAGGACAGCTGCTGCCCCGCTACAAAGTATCACTGGGGAGCCTCGGAGACCGCCATTGGCTGGCCAGATCATGAGCGATCCGAAGGAAAGCTCGGCCAGTCGCCATTTCTGGGTAGCAGTTGGTCTGACATTCACCAAACATTCACAGCTGGTTCAGGGGTTTTCACTGAAAGTGATCGTCTCGCCACCAGTGAATGTTCGCTGAAAGTCACATTCACTTCTTTGTAATTTTGCCCAAATTGATGGTCCGCCATACTTGCCAACAGTCACGGTTCTGGTGCCATTGCTTTAGTGGGCCCATATTATATTCAGCGATAAGGAAAAGTGTCGGCTGCTGGAAACTGC